CAATACTTTCAAGTACATTCAGAACATTGGAAACCCTGACTATTAGAAAACATCTCTCTGTTGCTTCAGAGGCCATAACAGACTTTGTTGATTTACCAACAGTTGATTTAAAAAATCTAATCAATTTCAGTCCAACTCTCTCAATAACCTTGGCCAAAACAATAAACAGTTCAACATAAAGTGCTAGTTGCACCAACAACATAATAAATAGTTCAACATAAAGTGTACCATTTGAAATAAAATAAAAAAGTGCCAGTGATTGACCTCAATCCCTCCTATTCTTCCAATATCCTGATGAAAAATAAAATCTCTCTGTTGCATAGGCCACTGTTTGATCAACGCGAATTGGGTGTGGGTCCTTGTACTCCGAGTCGGGCTAACGTCCACGCTAGCTTCCACGCTAGCTGCTATATGTTTTGCATTGAGGTGATACTTGAGGCTTGATGTGCTGCGGTGATATGCAAATTCCTTTTTGCATAATTTGCAAACAACCGTGCTCTTATTGAGGCTTCCATCCGTCCGTTTTTTAAAACAGAATGTCTCATCCACGGGGCCAACCAAAGCGGTCTCATCAGCTTCTTCGTTCCACTATTGTTCACTGTGGTTTGTTGTTGTCTGAAGTCATGAACGTTAGTTGGTGCTCCAGTATAATCGATACCCCTGAAACTCATCCAGTGAGAAACGTTCCGCGGTGCAAAAATAAGTGCGATTAAAATGCGTTAATTTTTTTAACGCGTTAATTTTTGTGTAATTAATTAATCTTAATTAGCGCGTTAAAGTCCCGGCCCTAGATATAACACCTTTCTGAAGGTCTGGCAGCCTCATTTAGAGTCTATAGATGCATTACTGACGCCACCAGGTATATCATCTGATGAACCAACAGGCCTCTGCACATACAGTAGCACTGTGTATGTGTTGTTGCATAAACCTGAAAATTATGAATAAAATATTACAAAAAAAAACATTCATTCTGATTGGCTCAGAGTAAACTAAGTGTTCTGATTGGCTGACAGTAAATTAAGCGTTCTGATTGGCTCTGATTGGCTCACAGTAAACAACTGTTCTGACTGGCTCACCTGAGGCCGGTGAAGGGGCGGGTCTTACAGGTGTGGCAGCGCACGTCGTGACGGACATCCTGACTGACGGACAGGCGGTACAGTGTGGGTAGCCATAGCAACAGCGGTGGCTCGCCCCGTAGCCATGACAACACGTGTTCTCCGCTGGCCGTGTCACCATGACGACCTCCAATCAGCTGTCTGCTTCCTGTTCTCACCCTTTCAAAGCAAGAGCTCACCGCCGCCTCCACTTGCCCGAACGCTCCGTCCTCCTGCAGCGCCGCGGGAACCTGAACACATCACAGGGTGAAAGGAGCAGAGGGCATGCTGGGAAATGTAGTCCGTTCTTACCTGGCTCAGATCCTGAAGCAAAGCCCGGAGACCGGAGCGGCTGATGGAGGCGGAGCCACACTGCACTGCTACACCAATCAGAGCTGCACAAAGAGGCTTTTATTGTGAAGGGCACAATACTAGGCTCTTATTGTGAAGGAGACACACTGACACAAGACTCTTATTGTGAAGGGCACACACTGTTCTACTGACAACAACATCCATCAATCAATCAATGTTTATTTATATATATGTCTCAGTGGTCTTCACAGTTTGTGCAGAATATCAGTATGACAATACGACACTCTCTGTCCTTAGACCCTCTGTCCTTAGACCCTCACATCGTACAAGGAAACACTTCCAGAGAGAAGCCCACAGTTTAAAGGGGAACATGGAGAAACCTCAGGGAGAGCAACAGAGGAGGGATCCCTCTCCCAGGAAGGACAGACGTACAATAGATGCCGTGTGTAAATTGAAGAGATAATACATTTACAACATAGGTAGTCCAAATGTTTGGAAATGCATGTGTCTATAATAAGAAGATGAATCCACTAGGATGTCAGCAATCTTGTGGGAGCCATCAGGCAGGACCGCAGAGACAGGTTCAGCCACGACACCAGGCTTTTATTGTGAAGGAGCCTCACCTGTGTACTTCCTGTGCAGCGTTTCTGCTGACAGTGCGATCAGAGACGTCTGAAGAGACGCAGAGGAAATAAATCCAGAGCCGCTCCTGAACACATCATATAATAATAAATACATAACACATAAATAATAATAAATAATACATAAATAATTAAGATAATATAAGATATAAAAGACATAGATAATAAATGATGTTATTCACAGACCGGTCGTTGATCCCGAACATCAGGCTGCACGTTTCCTCCAGAGTCGCATGACCCGGCACTTCCTGTCCCACGCTATGGAACATCCTGTTCAGAGCCCGGGTCACTTCCTGTCTGTCCAAGCTGACTTCCTTTCTGTGAGGGAGCACCGTGGTGACGTGTCGACAAAACACAGCGTCCACTGGAAAAAAACAATCAACTACACCGTGTCCACTGGAGACAAACCATCAACTACACCGTGTCCACTGGAGACAAACCATCAACTACACCGTGTCCACTGGAGACAAACCATCAACTACACCGTGTCCACTGGAGACAAACCATCAACTACACCGTGTCCACTGGAGACAGGGGACAAAC